TCTCAGCTATCTGTTAGTGGAGGAAAACAATTGTGACATCACTTACTCTGGGATTTGTAGTCTTTATAGATGCGTATTTTTCATAGTCTTATATTTCAACAGTTTTACGACAAACTGTGACTTTTTTGACATGGAAATTATTTTTTAAGATTGACAAACATCGTATGTGTAATTCATGGCACAATTCAAACGGGATCGAAAGATACGTTTCTTCTCTCCATTGACTTCAATACATTATTTTTCCGAAATAAGGTCCCATGGACCGGAAGTAGGTGGGCGTGACTTCGCCACTCTATGCCGCCGACACATAATTTCAGCCAATCAGCGTCGTCAGATCTGATGCTCACAGGGCGGTAATTTCAGCGCCCGATGCATTCTGTAAGTTGTTTGGATTCGTATCCAAGGTGACGCTACAGTCAGTAGTTGATGAGGATGGTGGCTGCGTCAAAAGGTGGAGACTCCGGTGCTAGTGGAGCTGTAGATTAACATTGACATGCTTATTGTAGTTGTAAGGGCAATGCCTGTGGCACCATGGAGCATATGTGTGGGCTGGACCTGTATTTTACAGGAAAGGAGTGAGCAGAGGGTCGGGTTGTCGATTCTTGTTCAGTTTTCTGTGACTATTTTCCTCACCCTCTCAGAGTTTGAGTTGCGCGCGCTACTAAAGAGACGCGTTACCATGGAAACAAAACAATGGTGTAGCTGTATTAAAGAGTGGAAACAGTCGTGAGTAAATCTGTATCTGTCAGAAATCGGGAGAAATATGACCCCGGGAGGAAACCGGGAGGGGGCAATGAAATCGGGAGTCTCCTGCGAAAATCGGGAGGGTTGGCAAGTATGACACATGCACGCACGCACGCACGCACGCACGCACGCACGCACGCACAGTTTACAGATAGCAACAGTCAGCAATGTGTTGGCTGCTGCTGCTCTGGCTGAGGGCTCCTTTCTTACCGCCCAGACGAGAGAGGGTAATGACGCCAGGCAAGAAACATGTGACTTATCAATAACTTTAGACATCGTAACACAATTTTAAACGATATTTTATTGTAGATAATACATTTTACTGATACCAACTATATAATATTTACCTTGTTCATTAAAAATAATAAAATAACAAATATATCTTTTAAATATATATTTTTATTTATTTTTAATTTTTAATGACAATCAAACATGTGGGAAGAGGTGGGGGGGCGGCGCCCCTAGCGCCCCTATGGGCCGGCCGCCACTGCACACCATGATTGGATAACACAAGTCACATAACTTATGTTGTTCTATCAGAGGATTAGGGAGTCAGACACAGATCTGCACCCCTGAAGCTAAATCATTAGGGTGAAAAGATGGAAAAGCATCAACAGTTTAAACGTCGTCTGCATAACCACTTTCGTTTTGGAAGAGGAAGGAAGTTATCAAGCTTATCCAGCCGAAATGCAATCTGAGCTGCCAAGCAATCCTTGACTCCCCCGCAGGTTTGACTCCCCCGCAGGTTTGACTCCCCCGTGGCAGTATCAGGCAATGCCATCCCCTCTTTCAGAAACATGCGGATCTTATTGGTACCTGGTAAGATTCAACGTTTATATTTCCGTTAAAAAAACAACTTAAATAGCTAATTAAATGCAAATATAACAAAAACTGTTAATGTATTTGCATCATATTCACTGTATTGCAGAAAATGATGATCAGGTGTAAATTGAAACTCTTCAGCAGAATAACCCTCAAAGAAACTTGACTTATAAACTTCCACAAAACCACATCAGCTGTTTTATACGATGATGGAAGTAAAGGCTGCCGATAATTTGTAGGTTTCTTATCAACAAATCACATGAAAAGATGGAAGACTATTAAAGAGTTACATCAATGGGACTTATATTTGTACTGGTGGACGATTTATTTTACGATGATGAACATGGACACTGTGGTTTATTTGGAATCAATACCCCATATATCACTCTGTTGCTTCAGCGCTAAGCAGCTTTAGGAAACTACTGCGCTTTTCTTTCTTTTTTTATGAAAATATGTTTTTTCTCTTACTTTCAGATGTACTTTTTTACTTGATGTTATATGCAGTTAGTGGTATCCTAACCTTAACACGAGACTCAGGAAAGTTAGTTAATAGGCGCGTTCATACCGCAGTACTTTTCCCACTTTAGTTCCGATATAGTTCCGAAATGTCGCGTTCACACCAAAAAGAGCCGGAACTAAAATAATAATGAGAATCTTTTTACCCCCTTTTCCGTCCCTGCAAGAGAGCAGGTACTTTCGTTGGAGAAAAAGGTTCCTATGTCTGATTGGCTGGGCGGAATGCAAACCACGCCCCGTAAAACTCCCAAAAAGTTATGTGAAGCCGCCATTTTATTATCCTCGCATTAGCATTATTAGCATTAGCATTATTAGCATTATCCCAGCGCAGAAACGCAGAGAGACTAACTTATGGCAACAAAAAAGAAAATATGGGAGCGGTGGAGATGAGGATGTGTTGTCGGCGTTCTGGCGATTTACTCTGAAGGCTTCAGTAGAAGCCAATCCCTAACTCCGGGGACTTCCGGNAAAAAGAAAATATGGGAGCGGTGGAGATGAGGATGTGTCGGCGTTCTGGCGATTTACTCGGAAGGCCAGTCCCCAACTCCGGGGACTTCGGGTGGCAGTATACGCCTTGAAGTTGTAAACACAAAGCAGAAGAAGAAGTGACGTCAGCGGCTTTGCCTAATCCTCCCCCAGGGATTTATTCCGGTGTGAATGCGATCTGTACATAGTTAATGAGAACTAAAGAGTTCTCATGACCTTTGTGGGAAAAGTACTGCGGTGTGAAAGCGCCTATTGTCAGATTTTAACTAGCTGATTTTCACAGAAAAGATTCTTGGCACATCAAGAAATGTCTCACTGCTAGGTAAACCATCTCATTGAAATCCATTTTCCCCAATCCTTCACTGCTGCTTAAGGAGTAACACCACACAGCGTAAGGTCGAGATAAAACCACCCGCGCTAATCACCCCATCACGAGAAACAGCCAGCAGAGTCACACCACCACCACTTCTCATAAAAGAACAACCAGCAAACAGAGAAAAGAGGAGTGAGTAGAGATGGCATTAACAGCAATTTATTGATATTTTGCAAGCAGAAAAACAAGACTTAAAATGAGCCACACAACCAGTAAGTGCGAGCTTACGAGCAGCAGGGCAATTGGGTAAAAGTGTCGGGACGCTGGTTTGTTCTCAGTCCCGGCACAGGCCTCGGGGTCCTCCCAGTGCCCGACGTCCCCCTGCGTCAGCCGACTGCAGGGCGCAATCAGAGTGAGGAGAGCGGACAGAGACAGATCAAAACGTGGCGCTGTTAGTAAAGTCCACATGTTGTCTGAGTGGGCCTTCCAGCACAGATTGATCACTTAAGAGTCAAAACAGGCTGCTGCCAGAAGCCCCACTTCGACAAAATTTGCCTCAAGAAGCCACAGAAAAGCAGGCAGTGACTAACGCAGCAGAAATGTGAGGAACAGGCGCATGGAAAAGCTACTTGTTGGGCCACGTTATGAAATGACTTGGTTGGCAGAGGATGGTGGAGAGAAGGAGCATGCAGGGAAAGCTTTCTGTAAACTATTTTAAGTACTGTGCATCTGATCCTGCTGATATTCATTCATTCAGAAGAAGAAGAATCCTTGTTTACGTAGCGGTTTAACAGGTTTTTGGTGAAACTCGACACTGCGTTTTCGATTTCCTTTTTGGATAGCATTTCAATTCATTCACTATGTCCAAAACAAACATAAATCTCTGTCAGCAGTAACGAAAGAGAGAACAACTGCTTCCTTTTGAGATAATCAGCATATTTAGACGAGTCCATGAGAGAAACTCTTGATAGGTAGTCAAATGTTTTGCTTGTGTGGATAATAAAATGAGGAGGAGACAGACTAGCACGTGCCGTAAACACCTGATAACGACATGTAGAAATCAGCTGTTTATGTAAATGATGCACTTAGAGACATTTATCATTTTCATTTAGTAGCTTTCTTTTGTCATGTTTTTCTTAACTGTCGGTCCTGTGCAGTATAAGGAGAGAGCAAATATATAACTTACTAAAGTGATGAAATTAGATAACTGTCATTGTAAACCAGACACGCACAAACCCAACAGATGGCCCCTTTAATAATTAAATAAGCACTGATGTTTTCTTTTTTAAACCACACTCGACCCTATCGATGAATCTAGTAACGTTTGATTGATTTAAATAACTTGTGCCTGACAATTATATGCTCAGTAATTCCCCTTTTAGTCTGACACCAAAGTTAAGGGATAAAAATGTTGGAATAACCCAGCGTATTTGTACTTTATAAATGTTTTTTTATATTCCTTTTAGTTAGCAGTTCACTTTCCCTTATTATCCCTTCCTATCTCACCTCAGTTCAACACTGAATACATGTAAATGTTTTTAGGCAGGCAGGGGGGTAGGGGGGGGTGTGGGAGAGACACTTTGGGATTTTAGCCTTTGCAGACCATTTACATGCACACAAACCCATATAACACACTACCAGAATCATAGGACCCTTTATTCAGAGGTAGTGCTGCAGATTATTGTGTCAGGCCGTTGTGTCCTTGGGCAAGACACTCTACTCGCATTTGCTCCTGTGGGTAATGTCCACAGTATTGACATTTACATGTCTAATATGTGTAATATGTAATTGTAAAGCGCTTTGAGCACCTGTAAAAGCGCTCTAATTAAAAAATGTAATCCATTATTATTATTATTATTATTATTATTATTATTAGTGTATATCTAAAGCTTTAATTTAACTTATTGTGTCCCGCTACTCTGGATGCAAATACAGCTGTCTCAGAAGTATAAAGTCTAACTGCAGGTGATGCATTCAAACACTGAGCTATGGTTTGAACGCAGCACCTGCAGAGACAGTGATCTACAGTTGAACTGTTTCCACCCCCTAAGGGAGCTGTATGGCATTCGTTCAAGTTTTCCAAGTGGCAGAACGACAACACAAAGGAATAATAACATTCTGTCACAGATATATCAGGAGGGAGTTTGTTGTGAATGTATCCTTATTATATTATATTTAACTCCCACACATGTGCCCAGGGCTAGTTACATGCTTATCAGCTGTATTTGTCTTGGCAAAAAATGCAATTACAAGGGTAAATATATTTTTTTGGAAGCAGTAAACCTAAAATCTGTCAAGATAGCTTCTTTCAGACGCCAACACTGTCCACAGTCAACAGTCCTTTGTTTTTATTGTTGTTAGATTTGAGTGTTTTCTATTCCAGGTGTTTTGTTATTTATGTATCAAACACTTAGCTGGAAAGATTTTATTTATTTTATAGTGTTTTGATTGTAACAATGTTTCTGGTCTTGTTAATAACCCAGCTGCTTTTTAAAAATTACCATAATGTTGGAAAAGACTAAAGAATAATCTATTGATATATTTACATATACTGCATTTATATTAATGTAACTTAACATGGTTCAGTCCATAAAACGTCTTTGTGGTGCTCAAATCTTGAGGTCAGGAAGGTGGGCGGTAAAAGGTTGAATTATTTTGGGTTTGTTTGATTTGTTTAGTGTGTGGAGAAGCTGGCCTACAGTGACATTTTTTTTTTTTTTTAGCTATCAGGTATTTAAGACCTTAGTCTGTGTCCCGACTACTTCATGTTACATTAGCAAATGAACGTCAGTTTGGTTGGATGTAAGAACTGTTTTAACTGGTTCCCTTACTTTACAGGTCATTAGGTGACTGTATGTACGATTCGTTTTTCAACCACACAACCTTTTTTTCCACATTTTCGACCATGATTAGTCGCAGCGATTTAAGTGAGCTGTTATTCGTGTTTAGGTCATGTTATATCCAATCCTTTTATAAATCTGAGCCACACCTCTGCCATCAACCGGCCTGTACGGGTCATTACCAAAGATTCTTCAGATATGCACTTCCCAGAAAAAGTTGTTGGATCAGAAGATATCAGATTTGGAAGGATGACAGTCACAAATATTAAAGGCGGCAGTGTCCCTGCGGCACTGACAGGAACATGCGTGGCTGCCTGTGAATGTGTGAAGGAAGGCGTCGATGGTGGAGGGAACACATGATGATGTTTATGCTGGCACATCAAATGGGGATAAGATGGAGGGGAACGTGCAGACAACATGTCTTTAATGTGTCAGCGTCTGCTCATTAACATATGTTGTGGGTGCATGTTATTGCTTTCACTAGACATTTGTAATGACATACAATTATTATTTTTGGGATTAAAGATTGCAACAGCAATATTGGCTGAATGGTGAGACGACCCAAATTATGTATCCCTTGTCTCTTGTAGAACCAGCCATGCAACATTTTAGATGTACTAAATAATATAATAAATAAAAGGTGAATTGTATTTTATTTGTTTCCCCAATTTGCCCAGCATTGCGTCTTTCCTGTAACAATACCTTTGACAATCCACAGATGTCATTGTACATTTCTTTCAAAGGAACTATTTATTTGGTAGAAAGTAGTTCAGGTTGAAACACCTGAGAGGGAGGTCAGTGATCTCGAGAAAAACAAGTTGCTACTGAAGTTTGTTTAAAATGTTTTCATTGCATTGTGTCGATAAGATCTCTGAGATTTTATCTGAGCAACTAAAATATCTGCATGGCTACAAACTGCTGAAGCAAAGAATAACACTATGTTGTATGTTTTATTGCTGGCTTTTTAAATGCAGCATGTTTATGATAGATTGGAACAATAACCTGCACCCATATAATAGTTTTTAGTCTTTTATCACTCTCACCTCCGCATACAGTCCAAAGCTCGGATGAAGAAGTCCTTGCTGAGCTGGTGTTCGTCGCGCAGGAGGGCACACTGCTCCAACGTGACAGACATGGAGGTCCGGTCTTTGGCACTTTTACAGCTGGTCAACCTGATGCCATTTAACCTTCGGCAGATCTGGAGGCAAGAAGATAAATAAATACTCAATGTTTACATCCATCAATGATGCAAACTGTTTGGCCGTGACTAATCTTATAAAAAGACTGATTTGGAGTGTGATGTTTGTTCTAACTCCACAGATTATTGACACAGTAGGCTACTTTAGTTGTATAAGTGGATCATTTATAGCACACGGCATCGCTTTTAATTGCTATGCAGACGATTGCCAAAATATGTGCCACTTAAAAAAGAACGACTCACACTCAATGAAACCACTGATAAACTGCCTTGAAGACATTAAGTCCTGGATGTCGTGCAACTTTTTTAAATGAAATGATGACAAAACCAAAGTTATGGTTTTTGGTGCCCCTCGGACCACTCCCATAGACCTAGGATCCTTGGGCCACTCCACCAGGCCTACCATCACAAATCTTGGGATAAAGATGGACCCTGAACTCAAGCTGGACGGCCAGATCAAGGCAGTTTCTTCCACCTCAGGCATCTAGCCAAAATAAAGCCTTTTTTAAATAGTGACCTTTTTGAAACAGTAATCCATTCCTTCGTCACCTCTCGCTTTGATTATTGTAATGCACTAAATATTGGGATAAGTGCGTCCTCCCTTGCTCGCCTGCAGATGGTACAAAATGCAGCAGCACGGCTCCTAACTGGCACACGCAAACACAAGCACATTTCCCCCATTTTAGCTTCACTCCACTGGCTGCTCATTCGAGGATTCATTTTAAAATTATTTTATTTACTTTTAAAGGCCTCAATGGCCTGGCCCCGCCCTACTTCTCTGAGCTGCTACACAACTACACGCCCACTCGCACTCTCAGGTCAGCTGATCAGTTGCTCCTGAGGGTGCCAAAAACCAAGTCGACACGCAGAGGGGACCGTGCTTTCTCTGCTGCCGCCCCTAAACTGTGGAACGTCCTGCCCTTGCTAATCAGACAGGCTCCCACACGGTCTGTTTTTAAATCCCGTTTTAAAACCCACTTCTTCTCCTTAGCATTCGTAAACAAGTAGAATGTTGCTTTTATTTGCTTTCAGTGGTCTATTGTTTTTATGTTTTTATTTTTATTTTGTAATTGTTAGGTTTATTCTGGTTTGTTTTGTGTTCGTATCTTTTATGTGATTTTATACTTATTTTTATGTTCTGTGAGCTGAGCTGTGTGATTTTATATTTGATGTATCTCTCTGTACAGCACTTTGGTCCGGAGGTTTTAAAGTGCTATATAAATAAAGTCGGATTGGATTGGATTTATGTGTGTTTGATTGTTCATACAAAGGTCTTTGCCGATATTCCAAGTACATGTTGCTTTGACCTCATTTGGATAAAAATGTGACCTAGTGTTGCCAATTGTTAGTTGTTTTGGACACTCCCATAACAAATAGCCTGAATGTTAGGTGTTTTTTTAAACCAGGGTAACAACATCAATATATGGATGACAGTCAAACGTCTAACAACTTTTAGATAAATCAGGAAAAAACTATGTGGAGAAGTTCTTGATCCCCAGAGGATGAATTAAAACCAATTTGTATTTGTTCAAAACTTTGGTTTGCGACAAATGACATATTCATTATATTAGGGCTTTGTACCTATTAGCAAATGTTAGCAAATGCTCACACACCAAACTCAAAGTCATCATGGTTGTAGCCTTGTTTTAACTTCTAGAAGCGCTGTAGGAACATGTTCAACATTCTGTCGTCATATACTGAAGATCAGGTAAAAGGTCACTTCTATACAGTATCGTTTTCAGTCAATCCATCATGCTCATGCAGGTTAGTTGGAAGCCCATGATATATGAATCTGTCAAATACTAAGTTTCATCTAAGAGTATAAAGTTCACAGTTACCTCAGTTAAGCAGGAGAGGATGGTTTTTTTGTACGCTCTGTCTTCCTTGACAAGGATTTATTGTTACAATCAAAACTCTGCTCACCGTTCCAGCAATCCATAGTATCTCCACATTCTTCCTCTTCTTTGTAACTACATTCTGGCCCAGAGTTTCAAGTAATTCCTTGATGTCGGTCTGTGTCTGGTAACACGGTAGACCTATTCACAGAAAGCACAAAACACATTGCCAGTGAGAGGTTCTGTTGATGCTTTGCTCTGCTGGAAGTCAAAGTGTGAGGCCAGGCTGAATGCAGCTTCCTATGGATTCACTTGTGAAGGCAGACGAAAGAAGAAACAACACTGAACACACATTGTTGCAGACGATTCAAAAGTTCTACGTTTCGGAGGCTTTCTTTTTCATATAGCTACAGCAAGGTTTGAGCAGTAGAAACCTTAACTCTCAAGCTTCTCCAACAACAAAACCTAAGATACAATCGATTAATAGACTTAAACTAGTGCAAAAGACGAGATTGTTCAATTAACTACACTTGATTAAAATTCAAGATGTGCTGCCCAACAGTTTTAAACAATTATTAGCCCACATCTTTGTACATAAGAGTTAGTTCACTTACATTCTAGTGGCACCTTTTCACTTAATGACTTGTAATAGGCTTCTAACATCTCAAAGTTCCTCTGGTTTATTCTTTCCTGTAGAGAGATATCTCCAAACCTGAGAGGAGGGGAGGAAGAAAATAGGCGGTTGTGGTGGAGCATCTCATAAAAACTCAATACAACTTGTTTATTAACAGCTTATCACTAAAAGTTACAATATAGCCAAGTACCAAAGGCATTGTTTAACATAACAAAGGTGGAAATACATACAAATATGAGAATAGTTGCATTCTTTTTCAGCCAAATAACAAAAGTAACATCCTTACATATTAAATATTTATGAGAAAATGCAATTAGAGGTTTGAATGCCTCCTACTCAGAAGGATTATCTTGAAATGTAAATTTAGATGCACTTTGCAAGAATAAGAAATAAAGAATAAACCGTGCGTGACTCTTTATGTTACATACATGAGATTGAACCAGATAGACGCTCTGGATCTAGTCATATTGATTATTTGAAGACAAGGATAGCACCAGATGTGAGTGAACACTGTCTGCAGTACCTCTCTGCTATCGTCTGCTGCTCATTGATGCCCACGTTAAACAGCACCGGGAACACTCGCAGAGGCTGGCCCCCCCTGATCTCTTCTGGCAAGGTCTGGAAAACCAGGCGTGGTAATGGCACTTCTACAAAGAAGTGGTCTCTGAATGCATGGAGAAAAAGAAATAGAAGGTTAAAGAGAGATTTGATGAGAGAATCATTAAATGGAAATCCAAAACGTTTTGCAAAATTGACCGTTGAGACTCGCCAGAGCAAGCTGTATAAACAGGGACTTAAAGCGTGTGTATGCATGAGAGAGAGAGAGAGAGAGAGAGAAAGTGTGAGAAACAGATTGCCTTACACATAAAGGGGGGGCGTGGCAAGAGGGGTGTATCATATTATCACACTTGGCATCATTTGCATGGTATCCAGTCAAATACACTCGCTTGACCTCAATATGACAAATGTTCTTGGCTTAAAAGCACATATATGTAGCTCCCGGACTTCCTGAAGAAATGACGTACTAGTTCAAATGTGGACTAAAGTTCTGAGTTTTCATTACAGGCTATATATAACATCTGGGCTGCGAGGCATAATGTGTTCTCACAAACAATTTGTGCATTTTACAGGTCACTCTTTGGGCTTTGTTTGGCCCTAACAGCTCATACCATAGACAAAGCATTGCTATTATTTCCTAATGCACAAACAAACACAACTGCTGGTGCAGGAATTCTAGGCAGAGCTAGATAAATCACATGTGATGTGAATAATCATTTTAAGACAGTGGATAATAAATCGTAAGTAACAAATCATGCCCTGTGGTTTGCAGCTTGATTCAGAGGCTGAACGTGAACACATGTGTTTTTCAGCACAGTGGAGAATATAACAAATTACAAGTCTAGCATATTTGAAACTATTGTTCACACACTCGTATGTCTCCATAAGATCATAAGAAGTTCATTTTAACACCTCTGCATTTTCATAGTGTGTTAAATATTTGATGTGGAACCTGTTGTTGTAAAAACACTAAAATAAGTTTCCGATTCCGACTGTGTGAAAATCAAGACATGGAAAAGGAGGTTTCACAAGTTGGCCAGAATGAACAGATTCCTATAAAAGAGGAAATGGCTAAACCATAGAAAGTAAAGCTTTGGACAGGAGAGTAAGTAAGAGATTGTGCTTTTTGCTAAAAAAAAACTGTGATGTCACAGGTCGACAAAGGACAGGAAGTGGAGATTGTGTGTTTGCAGCTGATTGGACGGTGTTGTTGCAGCAGTGGCTCACTCTGTGCCAGTTGCCGATAAGTTTGGTGAAAGCAAAAGAGAGAAATCGAAACCTGCTGTGCGGAGCAGAGCCGGAAAGAAGCTCCGGAAACTAGCTAATAAGTGCATGATAAAAACAATACACATATTTGTAATTGTAATAATAACAACATATGTATTTAATGGTGCATGTGTAGAATAAATGGCATCTTTATCAATGCAAATATATATATATAATGAATTTGTCTGTTTGCATCCCACATATTATTTTTTTCACCAAAATAAGCAGTATTTTATCCTTGTACAGTATTTAATTTTATATTCTGTTTTAAGCTCATCTTTTTCTATGTTACATATATATATATATAATTTAGTTACCTTCTTACACATACCTGCACACTGGTCACTTGCAACATTCTCTTGCACAATTTTACTTTATTTCTGTTCTTCTTGTACTATTTATTATTATTTTATTGTTTATGTCTTACATATACTTATGTTGCATTGCTGGAGGAGCCTGGGACTTAACACTTTCATTGCCATAGCTATACTGTAGCTACTGTGCATACAACAACAACACCTTTGGATCTTGAATCATGTTCAGGTTTGAAAGTCCCTCGTTGCATGTTTTTTGGAGTTGAATTTGGTTTTAATCACTACATGACCTGAGCAGTAGGGACTAATTGAGAGATGTTGTCTCACCGTCGGCCACACACTAAAGGCTGGAGGTCACTGAGGTCATCTGTCTTGGCCTCTGTGATCTGGAACAGAACTCTCTGCAGGTCGGAGACCCCCACCTCCATGTCCTCCAGCATCCCGATCTCCTCACCTTAAACGTTTCCACAAAACCACATTAGTAGTGATTTACCATGGTCATTCAAAAGGATGGTAGATAACAACAAATTAAACAAGCACTACACCATCAAGATCTTGGGGAAAAACGTATCTCAGCATCATTTTAAGTGACTTAAGGGTACGACTAGGAGACACATACTATTCAGAAACTGCCCAGATTTTGAGCTACAGAGGCCTTGTTTTCATTATAAAACTGGGTTGGATGTTCTGTCCTTCAGTCCTTCAGCTGTTCATGCACAGTTTCCTCACGTTGCACTTTGTGAATTATGTTTCTGTGAAAGGTGCTATACTAAATAAACATATTATTATTAGTGTTATTTATGTAACTGATCAATCTACTTCACTTCCTTAAGAGCTGTACAGTGAGCATTGGCAGAAAAATCTTGAAAGAAATTGCAATCATGTAGCTGCAGGTTAATGGCATAGATGTGTTATATCTTAAAGGAACTCCCTTTAAATCTGACTGTGTATTAATCTGATAAAAATTGAACTATGACACTGTGGCAAACCTTAAACTGGAACATGTTGTATAAAGGGAGTATACTTTAAAAGCTCCTGTAATAAAGTAGAAACGGTGACTCATAAATTTGTTTTTGAACCGTCACATTTACTCGTCACGTTACCCAGGCTTTGCCAAACCAATCTCCACATCTTTGTCAAATGTGAGGGTGGTCGGCTGAGTTATTGATTTATTGTCCGTTCTGAATGATACAAGAAATGAACTCACTGTAGGTGCTGAGCAGACTCTCGAACTGGGCAACCAAGCCCACCAGATGAAGCTGCTTCAGGAAGCCTTGGTCCTGCATTCCTGCGTACAGCCTCATCACAAAACCACAGGCTAAGGCTGCCAGCTGACACACACACACACACACACACACACACACACACACACACACACACACACACACACACACACACACACACACACACACACACAGTAAGATGTTTGTGGACGTTTCTCTTGCCCAAAATAGTATGCAAATAAAATGTGTGAGCCCGCTTCACTTCAGAAGTAACAGGGGGAAAGTCTCAGCTGGAACTAAATCTGAGTTGTATTTCATTAATGCTGAACGGTGTCGTAAATTCTTTGGTAGGGCTTTTTATGGGTTGTTTTTAAGTCACCAGTGGAGTATAAAACCTTCTGTAAATACATAGATCCTGTCGGAGGAAAATTCTAAAACTTTTGGAAGTAATATTTTGAAGTATTTTGACTTGAAAAACGTTTTAAAGTTGTTTGGGCAAGCTAGGATAAAGTTTGGACTTTGCACGACACAATTAAACAATAAATAGCTTGTTGGACATTTGAATCTCCAAAGTGATAGATTAACTGAGAATAACCTTCACGCCAGATTAAAGGTCACCCATTATGCAAAATCCACTTGTTCACGTCTCTTCTACATCAACATGTGTCGCCTCTGTGGAAAGAGATTCTGAAAGTTTAAGGAAAAAAGATTTGCTCACTTTTTGTCCTGATCCATTTCTAGAAAAACCTGTCTGAAAATGAGCCGATCAGATTTTGGCCACTTTATGATGTCATAACGACTTTTTTGGCTTGTGTAACCATTAGCCAATCACCAACCAAGGTAACCCCCCCCCCCACACACACACCTTATCACCTGAATCTCCTCTTAGATCACCATTGTGTTCTTTTTAACCAAATATCTCTCAGAGAGGCGTAGGGAGGGGCTCCTTATTTTCATCTAAAGTAACTGAATCAGCACTTTTGAAACAGGGCTGAAACAGAGGGGATTATGGGATGCTGGTATTTCAAGCCAAACACTTCAGAGACATGTTTTGTATATATCTGAGACCTATAATATATTGATGAAAAACAGTATAATAGTGGACCTTTAAATCAGACTGGTCATTACTGAGGAAATCGTGGAGTTCTTTATTATCTTAGTGGCTACTTACTGCCTGACTGAAAACCACGTCACGCCTCTGCTGGAGGAGGAAACCCTGGGGAATACTGCAGGCCGCCTCCTGCAGGAGCACAAAGGTCATGGCTCTCTTTGCCTTCTCCACCACCTCCATCACACACTCCTTTAACCTGGTTACATGCGGACGCAGCTGCTCCCTCCACTCGCCTGCACACACAGATGGGATAACAGGAGTGGGAGATGGAGAAAGGAACTACAGTTATGATGGGGTTGTAAGGCATGTGTTCGCAGCCAGAAACAACACACACATTATCTGTGAGGTCAAACCAGATCAGACATTAACGGAAAGCAATTGCCAAACAAAAGGAAACAAAACCAAAAACACAGGAAATTAGTTATTTATTAAGAAAAATAAACATCTATTAAAAATTGTATGAACATTAAATAAAACGTATATATATAATATGATCAGCAAAATATAACACATGTCCTCAGGATTTGTATTATTGTTAGGTGAAGTGAACAAAGGAAAATGCATCAAATCAATTTGGTATCTTTGATTCAGTACATGCACTTATTTTGCTGTTTGGTTTTAAAGGGCAACACTTTATAAATCATGTAAGCGCAACCACGAGTTTAGGTCACAGTCTGTATGGACGTCTCAAAGAAAACTGCTAATTTGTTTTCGTAGTGCAGCAGTGCAAAGTGTAAAGGGCTGGTAGAAATATAGATCAGATGGCATAGTGATAAATATAAATAAGCAGAATAAATACACTCACTGGTCCCACAGCTCTGAAACAGCTGTGCCAATCAGTGAAATATGACATCAACAATAGCTCTACGCTCCTCCAGGAAATTAAATTGTTGTCTGGGTAGAGGCACGACATGAACCAATCTGCAGCCACAGGCAGATGCTGTGGGGTTTCTCAGCAGTTAATTAGTACACTGACGAAAGAAATAAATCACTTTAAAAAATAGTTTGTTCAAGTCGTTTATATAATCGCATCAATACGAAGCCATTTCAGTCACAATCCTCCACTGCATTAAGTCCTAAATGGTCACATCAGATCGTAATTGATGTAACACATCAGCATTTGCACCAAACACATTTCAAGGATTCAACAACAAACACCATGTCTGAGAAAAGAAAAGATTGGAATGGAGGCAACGATAAGCAGAATTAATGAGCCCCAGGAATCTGATGTCTCCTGCATAAATAAATAGTTATTACCAGCCAGTCTGATGTGTGCAGAGGAAGTGTTTGTTTTTTACGCATGTAATTTAATCAAGGTTAACACAGTGAACTGCCGTGTTTAATGGTAACACGCTGCAGACCGCACTTTTCAAATCAGAGCTGCTGATTTAACAACATATATTTAATGAACCCAAGAAGAAGAGTTTCATATGTATAACACAGCTGTTTACAACATATACTGTATGAATAACCCAAACATTGATGGATCAATGCAGACTGCTTTAATGGTGTTCCAGCTTTGTTGAAAGTTAATGTTTGATGCCAACATATTATATTCTGTTAAAGAGTAAGTACAGTATTTAGTTTAAAAAGCCTATGTTGAAAGGAAAACAGACATCTCCCTTTCCCCTGCCTCATCTAAATGAGTCTCCTACCTCTGCATGCTGCATAAAAAAAAAACACAGACCAGCAGAGCAAATCTCAAGGTCAGGAAAATACCAAACTGTGCCCTGCTTGTTCTATTCATTGTACCACAAGAAATGAGAATAGAGACCCTTAAATTAACTGCCCAAATGCCTAATAGAGCCCTCACACTGTACCTTGGGTCAGTAAAGACACCATGAAATTGCCTCTTTACTTCCTAATGTGGTGTAACTCATGTTGAAACAGGATGTTGGAGAGGAAAATAGCGAAGAGAAAGATTACTCGAAAGTGAAAGTCAATGGCTATGCTCCATTTGACACTGAGAGTGTGCTAATGATTGTTTGTGGCAAGACTGGAGAAGCTGTTTATTATTTTTAGCTAACATTTGTTAACTATGTTTTTCAGTTTAGCTCAACTAGTTTTCACACACTCCATTGTTGATGTGTTTAAACTGACTCCGGTTGATGGACAGCTTACTGACTTTTGTGAATCATTTCATGTAATGTTCTCTCTGTCTTCCCACTGAACATACATATATAATCAAATCACAAGAAGTTTAGTTAATTAGGTCTGGGTAAATTAATTGGTTAAGTTTTCCATGTATGCCCTTAAAGTACAGAATTATATAGCGCTTTTCTAGGTACTCAAAGACAGAACAGAAAGCATTATGAACTGACAGATTGACATGACGTGTGGGGGAGGGGTTGGACAGGAAGAAGCTAGTTTGAAGCGATGGGCTTTGAGTGTTCGGATAAGGCTGGCAGGCTGGTTAAATGTCTGATGTGTACATTATAAACTGATAATTCTGTCAAAAAACAGCAAGCTCTGAGATGAAACGGATTCAGTATGCATGCACACTTCTTAGACTACACTTAATATTGTACTTTTGCATACTCAAAAGCTGCTTAGAAACAGTCATTAGGAATTGGGACAGAATTAGTGTTTGATTTCATGGTGTCTTATACACATTTCCTCAATCCAAAACCAGTTTATGACGATCCCCTCACTGGCCAAAAGGGGGCAGTGTTTATTAAGCAATGTGCACTCAGTTCAACTTCAACATATTGAAAAGTTATTTGCGATCAGTGTGGACACGCACACACAAACAGAGGCACAGACAAGCACAGTTGGATACCACTGATAATGTAAAGCACATCAGCCTTGCCCTTGCCTTGTCAGAAAAATCACGTCTTATCTCATTCTGCAAATATCGCCTCCGCACGGAGACGGAGGAAACAGAACTCAAGCTGTCATCTCCTCGCCTGCCCACCTGTCCAAACATCAAAACCTTGTCAACGCCTTGTCATCAGAAGCCGGGTTTCACCGACATCCGCTCGCAGATAAAGTGTCTCTCATTATTCCGCCCATGTTTGTATTTAGACAGGCAGATGACCACTTGTTCTGTTCAGCGTCTTAATAAAGCTTCTCAGTGGGGGGGGGGGGGCTTCTCTTTCAGGCAGAACACCGGACCCATGGCCTTGTTCTTACCGGGCAGCTCACACAAACACAAATGCAGAAATACACAGGGGTGAAAAAAGTAGATCTTATACTTAAAGGGGCCATATTATGCTTTTTGTGGTTTTCCCTTTTCTGTAGTGTATAGGTTTGTAAATGGCTAAAATCACAAAGTTCTCTCCAGAGGGAGTTTCTCAACCAACACACTCCCGCCCTGCCTGAAACGTCTACATTGGACTCCTTTGTTTACTACCGTAACATAGTGACATCGTATTACCTTATGTACTGCTAGATCTTCACTTATAACATATCAATATTTCTTTATTAGTTGATTTATATTTTATCATTTAATAATCTGAATCTATAAAGTTACTAAAGATGAAAAGTACAAATTTAGTGTACAACATAAGCTTCCAAAATGGAGTGGACAAGTATAAAGTAGCATAAAAAGAATATACTCATTACATGGACCTACTAAGTAACTACATATACCTTTCACCACTAGAAAAACATGCCCAACCTGATACAAATGCACCAAAAGTCACACACACACACACACACACACACACACACACACACACACACACACACACACACACACTGCCAGTTGGCAGAGGTTCCAGTCAGCTCTTGTCTGGACGCAGGCTTGAGGCAGGATTTCAGCGGGCGAAAGAGAGGAGTGGGCAGCTTGCGGTCAGCAGTGAATGGCTCTGCATATCAAATATTGCTTTCATCCAATTCTCTGGCACCCATTTAAGTTCCTCTTCTGCTAATGCCTACACTGCAGGGAGCCTCTAAGTTGGTCCAGACTCCTGTATTACTCAGGCTGTAGATAAACACAGACTTCAATGTTGTCTCCCTCAGTGGAAATTTCTTATTTATCTAGTTGGTTTGTATAAATATTTGGCCAAAAAGCCATTTATAAGCTCAAAATAGCTAATGTTTTGGAGGAACAGGAATGGAAAATAGCATTTGTTGCCAATGATAATGATGGATACATTAAAGAGAATTATGCATTATACTACAGAGAAAGTTACCAATGACGCATCACAGTTTAAGTGATGAGGAAAAAACTACTTATTAAACGGGAAGATTTTATTAATATAAGCAGGAAGTCATTAAAACATTATCTTTTTTATATATTTTAAAGTTCAACTTTTGTATTTTTTCATAGTTTTTTTAGGTCAAAATGTTTGGATTTCTCTCAGTAGGTACGGTTATCCAAAAGCTAAGTTTATTAAGTACATATACTGTATATATCTTTTAAACATTAAGTTATTTTTGGGTTGCCTTTCTGCTGCAATGAAATGGACAAACTATGTAAATAGCAACAACACTTTAAGTGACTGATGTATTAGTCTAATTTAGAGAACAGTAGATTATTGCTTCATTCAAACATGGGAAAAACGTTTTGGATAGTGAAGGGATGAATGGATGTCTATTATAATTCAATATAACCTTCATGCTGTGGTGACTAATGCTTTTTAATACTGACCTGCTAACATCAAACAACAAGTGCATGGGCAAAATAAAACCCATCTGCAGCATAGACATACTCAGCCTCAAAGATGTTTCACTGACGGATGGTTGTGCTTCACATAAACAACTTATTTACCGGGGTGGTGTGAGGTGATGACATCGGCGAGCTGCTGCTCAGGGGCCGGCTCCTGCCTGCTGCCGTCCTCCTCCTGGACTTTATCCACCATGGCGATGACACAGTTGAGACATTTGGCCACATTTGCCCACACCCGGTCCTGAAGGAGCCGAAAACACAATCAGCAGTCAGATCAGACTCCCTGATTAGATCTTTCTCACTCCGTTTCAGAGGAGAGGGGAATCGAGTAAACCAAAATTTGTTACAAAAACAGTTGAAGCGACTTAAAGCCTAACAAATAACTCCCATATGTGTAAGAAAAAAGTGTTTCCATTTGCAGTCTTAACTGGCGTTGTATCCAAAAGGTCAAAAGGAAATGACTGTCTGGGTATTCTAAGATTACTCTCAACGTATTTTAATTGTTTCCATATTTCTCTTACTTTTCTTCCACTCAAACTGACTGACTGATGCTTTCACTTTTGTGTGTACAAATATGACAATTTAAATGTGTTTGAGAGTAATTAAGTGGTGGTGTGTATTTCTATTCTTTCGTGCTTAAAAAATGGTTTGAACATGATAGGGAATTTATTTGAGTGATAATTAGGGCAGAACACATGTCACACTCCTGCTGTCAGTGAGGCAGATGCTGTGCGCACACGCTAACACACCAACAGTCATACACACTTTATTGAAAAGAAGCAGCATGACTTAAGATTCAATGAAAAGGTTACCACAAATAATCTTCTGCAGGATGTTTGTCTTGAAGAAAATGTGGAAATTACTTTGAGAAAACTCATTAAAATAGAGTAATATCTGGTATACTGTACAATCACATTTTTAAAAGTAATTTAAAGTTTTTGCAAGAATGACCTGTCTAAATGTCTCCTATTGTACTTCTTTTTTACATCAATATATTATAGGTCTCAGATATATACAAAACATGTCTCTGAAGTGTTTGGCTCCAAATACCAAACAGATCATTGCAGCATTACCCATAATCCCCTCTGTTTCAGCCCTGTTTCAAAAGTGCTGATTCTCTGTCTGTTGCTTTAGATGAAAATAAGGAGCCCCTCCCCACGCCCCTCTGAGAGATATTTGGTTAAAAAGAACACAATGGTGCTCTAGGAGGAGATTCAGGTGATAAGGTGGGGGGGGGGTACCTTTGTTGGTGATTGGCTAATGGTCACACAAGCCAAAAAATCGTTATGCCATCATAAAGTGGCCAAAATCCGATCGGCTCATTTTCAGACAGGTTTTTATAGAAATGGATCAGGACAAAAAGAGAGAGAATCTTTTTTCTGAAACTTTCAGAGTCTCTTTCCACAGAGGGGACACATGAAGCTCAGCGCAAGTTCAGACAGGAAGACCTATCACTTCGTATTGCACGTCACGGCAATACTCGCTCCC